ACCCCCCCCCCCCCCCCCGCCGTGGAATAGCCCATTGGAAGGATTTGTCAGAGCACTTCTAGCCTACCTCATTGTACTGGAGCAAATAGGGCAGGCAAGCAATTAGGGAACCAGCCCTCTAACTTTACTGGCTCTGTGGACCTATCTCTCCCCCATAGAGACCCGAGCTCATTGAGAACTCCACACTTTCAATGAGTGGAAACATCAATGATACTTAGGTCATACGTAGAAGAATCCAAGATGGGAGGGAAGTCCTCAAACCCTATGGCCCTTGACTCTATGCTCAGAAATTTCAAGAAGGGCTTTTCTGGAGACTACATAATTAAACTGCCTCTGAGGAAGCTCCATGCCTTGTCCAAAGAGGAACGGCCTTCCTTTGTCACAAAATGGCCTCTGGAGGGAACACTGAACCTTCCCTCTGTCAGAGCAGTATACAGGGCAGTGACGAGATGCCTGGACACCCAGATCAGTTCCCTTATATAGACTTATGGTTACAAGTAGCTATATCATTATCACTCTGGGCCTGATTTTACACAAATAAAATGGGAGATTCTGGTCATTGCAGCAGGAAAGAAGGGAGAAGAACAAGATACAGTTATTTACAAGGGGAGCCCAGAAGAAAAAGAAGCACTGCTGCCACCCCATAGGAGCCCTCTGGCTTGCTTGCTGCTATAGTACCCACAGTTCCCCCAGTCGCCTGAGAGAACTCCTCCCTTAGTACCAGTTCCACCCCAAACACTGCCTATGTACACAGCTGTGCCAGCCAAGCCACACTGCCTCGCCCCAACAGTGGGCATCTGGCAGTCACTCACAACTGCACCCTTACAGGGCAGCCTATGCAGGCAACTGCACCAAGCATTTTCACAGAGCAACTGTTCTCACAAGTGCCGTCTGCACAAGGGCCACTCTCACAAATCCAGTCCTTACAAACGGCTTGCTCCAGGCCCCACCATAATGTAAGTTCCTGAGGGGTCAAGCCTAATTGCATAACCCCAGAAAGTTTGAGAAAGGCAAACCCTGAGTCCAAAGCTGGTTCCTTGCTGGGAACTGAGGCAACTTCAATCAGCTTCCTAAGTGACTTGACAACTTGAGGCTTTCCAAATGCTCCTCTATGCAATACAGTGCCCCCCTAAAAGTGGATGACAATGGCATCATATGACCAGGCCATTCAATCCTCTACTATCAGCCTTTGAGTACCACAGGTCTCCTTAGTTGGAATCAACAAACTCCAGCCTACTCAAAAACACTCAAGCTATGACTCACCCGCTCTAGACCATTTTCCTAATGCACCAACTCACTTGGAACAATTGCAGACAACTTCTTCAGACTCTCTTTAACACAGAAGAGAAACACTGCATTTTGGAGGAGGTCTAAAATTGGCTCTAAGGGTGGACCCCAGATTGTGAGACTGATCTTACCACCTGGGCCCAGCGGGCTGCACCCACCAATCAGTCAGACTGGGACTTCAATGATGAGGACAAAAAAGAGACTCCACAGGCCCTCATACAGGGATATCCACAGGCCCTCATACAGGGATATCCACAGGCCCTGAGAGACTCCACAAGCCCTGATACAGGGATATCCACAGGCCCTGAGAGATATCCACAGGCCCTGATACAGGGAGAAAAAGCTAGGGCAAGGAAACTGATTAAGATGTCAAAAACAGTAGGTCTTCTAAAAGCCTGATGAATCACCCACAGAGTTTTATGAGAGACTCTGTGAAGTATTCTGGATATATACTCCTTTTGATAAAGAGGCGGGAGAAAATCATCACATAGTGAATGCAGTCTTCGTATCTTTGTCATATCCTGACATCTGCCACAGGTTTCAAAAACTTGAATTTCTTCAGGGTGAATGTAACCAAATGCTAGAAGTTGCCAACAAAGCATTTGTAAGCTGGGGCTGAAAGAACTAGAAAACTGGAGACACGTGTATAAAGCAAATGTCCCTGCTAGCAGCTGCATTTGGATACCCCAATCTGCAGGAGAAAGTCAAAGAAGACCTCCATTGCACTAAGACAAATGTGCATACTGAAAGGAAACTGGCCATTGGAAGAACGAATGCCCTCACCATGAGAAAACGTCAGGCAGGCAAAAGAGGCCAAGTCATCCCAGCAGAGGGAACCATTGCCTGAGCAAGTTAATCTTAAATTCATCAGACTAACTAGCAAGGAAAACAAAAAGGACCAATCAGGCTCTTTAAGGCTTGGCCTCCAGAAGCTTTTGGTCATAATGAGAATTTGGGGTTAACTGATAACTTTTATGATAGACACTTGTGCTGAATATTTGGTAGTTACAACCCTAGAGGCTCCCCTAACAAACAAACCACTATTATAGGAACCACAGGGGACCAAATTACTCTCCCAATCTGCAAAACTTGATCATGTAAGCTGGTGGGCTATCTAGTAACTCATAAGTTTTTTCACTCACCAGAATACTCTATTCCTTTGTTGAGCAGAGACATGATGATGAAGCTTGTGGCAAAAATCACTTTTACCCCCAGGGGAAGCCTGCTAGCCTTGGCTCAAAAAGCCAACCCACAACTGTGATGGCTGTAACAAACCTAGGGAGGATGAATGGCATCTCTATCATCAAAAGAAAGAACAAACTAGCCCAACTGCTGTGCTGGAAGAATTTCTAAACATCTGGGCAGAAAAGATGCCCCCAAGCTTAGCTATAAACCATGTACCCATTATAGTGGACCTGAGACTAGGAGCCGCTCCAGTCAGGCAAAGACAATATTCTGTGCCAGGAAACTCATTTTGGAATTCTGGACCACATTTTGCATGATGCTGAAATTCTAGCTGACTGTCAGTCCTTCTGGACCACTCCACTGTTGCCAGTAAAGAAGCCAGAAGGAAATGAGTACAGACCCGATCATGACCTACATGCAGTCAACCACACAGTAACCACCATCCACCTAGTAGTCCCAAATCCCTACACACTTCTAAGTCTTTTGCCCCCACAGGTGAAATGATTCATTGGCCTTGACTTAAAAGATACTTTTTTCTGCCTTTGACTGTCACCTGTAAGTCAACCCTTGTTTGCCTTCTAATGGGAGGACCTTCGGCCTGAAAGGAAAATGCAATTAACATGGACTAGATTACCTTTCTCTGGGGAGGCCTTAAATTGTACTGTGTTATGATATGTAGACACTGTTAGCCAATCCCTCCCAAGAGAATTGTTGGGAAGACACCAGGGCCCTGTTGGCTCTGCTTTCTGATGCAGGATGTAAGGCCTCATGGAGGAAGGCCCAAATTTGCAGACAAAATGTAAAGTAGCTTCTAAAGGCTCAGTGTCCTTCAGAGATGATGAATGTCCAAAGGACACTGAGCCTTTGGGCACAAGAGAGAGCAGGCTGTCTTGTGACTAAGACAAGGAGGAGGTCTGGAAGTTCCTTGGGATAGCAGGGATTTGGATACCAGTCTGCTCAAAAATTGTAAAGCCACTATACGAAGTTACAGTCAGCTCTGGGAAGGGCCTTCTAAGCTAGGTCTTTCAAGAGAAGATCTTCAAAAAGGTAAAGAGACTCCTAACAAGTGCCCCAACATTAGGCATACCAGATGTAACCCAGGACTCTTCACGTGCAAGAAAAGTCACACAGTGTTGGGAGTCCTCACTCAGATGGTCAGGTCTTGGCAATACTCAGTCACATACTTGTCCAAGAGATTGGACTCAGTAGCTGCAAGTGGCTGCCATGTATCCAGGCCCTAGCTGCCACCATGATCTTAGTTAGGGAAACTGATAAACTCACCTTGGGACAAACCTGAAATGTAAAAGTCCCCCATGCCATCACTTCTCTGATGAACAATCAAGGCCATAAAGGCTGACAAATGCCAGAATGGCTCATTACCAAAGTTTTCTCTTTGAAAACTTACATATCTGCCTCAAGACTATAAAGACACTCCTCTTAGCAACTTTTGTCCATGGAGATGCCTCCCTCCCCACCTACAATGTGGAAGGAAGGGGGATTGTGAGAATGGAATGTGATAGATAAAGTATATTCAAGCTGAGCTTGTCTGAGTTTCCCCTTCAAAATCCAGAGCTGGGGACTGTTTACTGATGGGAGCTGCAATGTCTATGAGGGGCAACAAAAATCAGGATATGAACTGACCACCACTGATGAGGTCATCAAGGCTGAAGCCTTACCACAAGGGTAGTTGGCATAGAAAGCAGAATTATAGGAACTAATCCAGGCATGAAGGCAGGTGGAAGGCAAACAGGTTAATATCTATACAGACTCTACTAAGTATTCTTTTGCTACCCTGCATGTCCATGCAGTCATATACAAAGAATGAGAACTTTTAATAACAGGAGGAAAGGAAATCAAAACTAAAGAAGAAATTTGTCATTTATTAGAAGTAGCTTGGAAGCCCTCACTAGACACAGTAATTCACTGCAAAGGGCATCAAAAAGGAAATGACCCCATCAGTAGAGGAAACCAGCGGGCTGCCAACCTTCCAAATGCAGCAACAAGCCCTGAACCAGGCTCAATGATTCTCTTAGCACCAGAGTTATCACCATCTACAGAAAAGGACTAATGGGCCAAAAGTGAGAAGGGAACCGAAGGGCCAGAAGGCTGGTGGGAACTCCCAGACTCTTTGCGCCTGAAAAGCAGCAACCCAGTTGGTTAGACAGCATCATGAACCAACCCAACCTACCAAGGAAAGACAGCTGTGGAAAGTCTGCTGAGTTGATATTAGTTTATACTGTGACTCCCCAGATCAGCACAAGATGTGTAATGTGTGCATGGAACAATGCCAACCAGAGGCCAAAACCTAACATAGGGGTACAGACCGCTGGAAAATGCCCTTTGAGGATCTGGAAATAGATTTCACAGAAGTCAAACCATGCTATGAGTGCAAATACCTGCTAGCCTTAGTCTCTACATACTCAGGATGGACTGAGGCATTTCCAGCTCACACTGGGCAGACACAAGAAACTGAGAGTATGGAAAGTTCACCGAATGGTTTAATGAGGCACTTGGTTCAATTAGTCTGAGAAAACTGTAGCTCATATGTAACAAATATCTTTCTGCTAGTGATGTCTGCTTTTGTAAACTGCAATGACCATTTGACCAAGTCCTTGCCCAGTTAGCCTGGCCTAGCTCTAGATCAAAAGGTGGCAGACATCTTGACCCATGCCTAGAATATATACTTTGAAAGCTATGATGACCAAGTGAACTCAGGAAGAAATTTTCCTGAGATAACATGGTCCATCATGAAAAGAAACAGAGACCAGGTGCCAGTCATAAAATGATGATTTATGTAAAATGCCTATTTAATCCCCATTTGTACTTTTGTTCAGGGCCCAGAAAAATCTAAAGGCCCTAAGTGCTAATTCTGGAACCTTTTGAATAAGAAAGAATAAACGTTAATAAAAGTTAAAACCTCATTCAATTTTATGTCTTATAAGGGTTATACTGAGTTCAATATTGTATAACTGTATTAATTTAACTGTGAACCTCAAAATTTACAGCTAATTTTGAAAGAGAAGCAACTTTGCTCTGGAAATTGTTATTGAATATGTTAATGCTGTAATGAAATCATGTGGTTATTAAATAATTAAAAAAAAAAAAGGAGAAAGTAGTACTGATTAAAGCTTAGCCAGTGAAGGACGCATGATCACCTCGTGAACACTGAGTTATGCTATGAGAAGGGCCTGCGTGCTAATACTTGACCTCTGAGCTGATTGGATGGTGGCCTCCCCACCTATGCTATGCTTGTGGTTGTTGCCTTTAAATATTGTTCAGCCTTAATAATAAACGAGTTCTAGCTTAAAGCTACTCCCTGTCGTGTCTGATTGTCCTCGGAGAGAAGGGCTGGCGAAACGGGCGGACAGCGCACTTACCCCTCCTCGACCCCCATCGCTGCGGCCTCTTGTTCCTCTCCCCAAGATGAAGGGATTCGGAGACCATGGCATAGTCCCAGCAGGCCTGGATAAATAATTAAAAAAAAAAGAAAGAATAAACGAGCTTTCCAACTCTCTCCTTGGTGAATGCTTGATCTCTTAGTTGTTCAAATAATTTTTTTCACTATATAAGAACCTCATAATTCAGTTATAATTCAATTACGAGGTTCTTGCATAGTTCACTATATAAGAACTTCATGATTCAGTGAAGAAAACAACAAAAATCTTACAATATTTTAAGTAAGTTTACTATTTTATGTTGGGTTACATTTATAGTTAGCCTTGACCACTTATGGCCACAGGGAGCCCATGGGCTGCAATTTGGACATGCCTAAGCCATTCAAGGCCTTGTTGAAGGTTGCAAGGCCAATAAATCAAGTTCTGGGGCTTGTATCCAAGTTTGTTAAGCTCATACCCACCAAGGCTGCTTTCCAACATGCCTGCCCAGGAAAGGATCTGAAGCCTCAGAAGTGACCCATATGTGCCCCTGTGAAGACAGGCTATAGGGAACCCATCCCAATACCTGCTGGAGGTGACTCCTGATGTCCAAGGCACAGAGTTGAAGCATGTGCAAGTAGGAGACTTCTGTGTCGATGAGCTCTCTGATGGCCAGCCTCTGATGGAGCAGCAATCTGTCCTTAGAGCCCTGACCTGCTTGGTCAGTACTCCCTGACCTGGAGGAGGGCTCATCTGCCCCAGGATCAGCCATGTCTGCAGGTTCTGGGAAAAACCAAGTCATCCCAGTTCACTTTTGGGAAGCTCTACTGGGAAATGCTGTCCCTAATTTGAAGACTATTCATCAAGTGGTCTAAAACATCATTAGCTGCAGAGTCAAACACTTTTTTTAATGTATATATTCATTAGTATATACATTAAATAGTATATATTTTGCCTACATGTAAGTACACAGTGTTTGTGCAGTGCCTACAGAGGCCAGATGAGGGCATCAGACCCCTGGAAATGAAGTTACAGGTGGTTTTAAGCTGCCCTGTGGGTGGTGGAAACCAAACCAAGGTCCTCTGCAAGAGCAGTCAGTGTTCTTAGCCACTCAGCCATCTCTCTAGGCCCTCAACTGCTTATTATACAGAGTCAACTGCTTGTTAGTATTTTGGGGCAATGTCTGGGCAATACAAAAAGGCAAACAACACCTTGGGTCATTGCTGACATCTGAAATTCATTTCCCAGGACTCAATGTGCTTTCCTGAACTTTCTTCTGTTTTCTCCCCAGTTCGATCCAGATGCATTCATTCATCTGTTCATTTTTAAAGGCTACTTTATGCTGGGTTACATAGGCAAGTGTGTAATGTACTCTGATCATACTTCCTCCCCATAACCTGCTACTCTTCCCTTTCATGTCCCTTCCCTTTGTAACTCTGAAATCTAAGACCTACAAATGAGAGAGAACATGGGGTATTTACCTTTCTGTGATTCACTTAATATAATTATCTTCAATCGCATTCATTGTTCTATAGATGACATAATTTTATTCTTCTTGTGGCTATGTGTATATGCCACATATTCTTTATCTGTTTTTGGACACCTAGGGTTGGTTCCATAGCTGAGCTGCTGTGAAAAGTGCTGCAGTAAGTGTTGATGTGAAAATGTCTCTGAGAGGTACTGACTTGGAGTCTTTTGGGTAAATATCCAAGTAGTATACCTGTTGACACAGATTTCTTTACCTGGTTCAGCATCCTCTCACCCTCTCACTCCCAGTGGCTCCTGGCTCCCATCTCAGTCCTAACATATGGTCTGTCACCAGGAGATTTCCAAAGGCTCCAGGATCATCCTTCCACATCCAGACACCTCTCTCCCGTAGCCACTCACTAGAATTTGTCCTGGGAATGCTTCCAGCTCAAACTCCTTGGATCACAACTTTCCCTGTGTGCACGACTGTCACAGCTCCCGGCTGCTCAGTCCTGCAGTCCACCTCACTTTCTCACGTTTAATTAGAGAGAGAGAGAGAGAGAGAGAGAGAGAGAGAGAGAGAGAGAGAGAGAGAGAGAACCTGCTCTCTCTGCCCTTTGCCTCTGCACCTGCTATGCCCCAGGGAGGTGGGGGGTGGGGTCTCCACCTTCTTGCATTCCTCTTCCCTGATCCTTGTTTGCCCTTTATTTCTCTAAAACTCCTACCTAATCTCTATCTCTGAATTTTCAAAATATATAAATAGGGCAACAACATGGGCAAAGTGACCTGAAAAGTCTTTCTACTACCAAACACTTAGAGATGTCAGAACAGATGTAACTCTAACTGTAAGGCATACTTTGCAAAAACACAAAGAAAATCCCCAGGGAACTAAAACAGCAGGGAGTAGCTGAGCTGATAAGGCTACAGAGGGCAGGAAAGAGAGTGCTACCAATAGCAGCACACTGAGGACTTAACAGGAAACAAACTCCCTCCCTCCCTCTGTGAAATGAAGAGTCAGGGAGAAAAAAAATCCACCCACCATCACAGAAAATGACAAAAATATGTGTCTATTCTGGCCTGAATCCTGGCTGAGGGAAAAAAACAGTTCTTTGAAAATTCATAGCAATAGACATAGGAGTGGGAAGGTGTGACCCTTTCCTTGCCCATCATGGCCAACATCTCTACAAGACAGGCTAATAACAAGAGGAAAGCAAAGCAAATGTATCTGATCTTGTGTTGCCTGATGCGGGAGCCTGCAGACTGAGATCCCAAAGACCCTGGATGAATTAGCCATATTTATACTTAGGGTCAGTGAAGTGAGGACAGGTGTGTGGAAATACGACTGGATGACAAAGGAACCACTAATGCTAGCAGACTGGGTGGAGAGACTGTCGAGGCCTGTCCAGATTCTTTGGGGCCTTGCCGTGCAGCATTCCTTCTTTCCAGGAGCCAGCAGCCCCCTCTCTGGAATGGGTGTCTTCTGATCAAGTCTCAAATAAAGTAGCTTGATGAGCTTTTTTTTTTTTTTAAAAAAAAAAAACATTTATTTATTTTATTATTATTTTTTTATTTATGTGTGTGTGGTTGTGTGTATACGTGGGGGGGTGTGTTCGGAGGTCAGAGGACAACTTGCATGAGTGGGTTCTCTCCTTCCACCATGTGAATCCCAGGGATTCAACTCAGGTCATCAGACTTGGAGGCAAGCACCTTTACCCGCTAAGCCATCTTGCCAGCCCTTGACCAGCTTTTAGACAGAAAGACGAGGTAGGGGAAAAGTTAAAGAACATTTTTAGGATTTCTGGCTGGCTTTGTGGAAAAGGGGGCTCTGGTTTCTATGAACTGCTTCTTCCTATGGCTTGCCGCCAGAGAGAATGAGAAGTGAGAGACAGGAAGAAGGAGAGGTCAGCCAGGAACCTGACTTCACAGGTCTTGGGGCATCATTGTATGAGCCCCCATACAAGCCTACTGGGCTTACCTCAAATTTATATCACATATCTGGTCTCACTGACCAAAAACTGAGAATCATACAGAGAAGTTGTGGAGTAATACTGTACTCTGAGACCAAAGGAAAAAGTGAAGCATCTGCAGAAGGCCACAGCTGTGGTCTCTAACCTTGTCTTGCAGATGAGCTGGGAGTCCAAACGACAAGAATGCCACTGTGAAGCTGTACATGCTGGTTCAGGCCTTTAATCCCAGTTCTCAGATTTCATGAGTTCTAGGCCAGCCTGGGTTACCTGGGCAGTAATGAGCCAGCCTGGGCTATATAGCAAGCCCTCCCCCTAACCCCCGCCCTATCGCAAAAATAATAAATAAATAAACAAATAAATAATAAATAAATAAAATGTCATTGTAAGTGAGCATCAGGAGAAACACAAAGCAGGGTTAGAGCCCAAGTTGTCAAATAAAACCACATTGGAGAAAAAGAAAGACTTTACAACAATACTAAATAAGAATGTCTATGATTTTTATTTTTACAGAGTCTTATTATATAGCCCTGGCTGGCCTGGAATTTGTTATATAGACCAGGATGACCTTGAACTCACAGAGATCTGCCTGCTTCTGGCTCCTGAGTGCTACAATTAAAAGTGTATACCACCATGCCCAGATGAGCTCTATAATTTTTAAAGCAACAAATAGAACTCATAGAAATTAAAATCTTAGTATTTGAAATTAAAATATGATTAGCAGTTTAAGAAGACATTTGGAAAAACACATCAAAAGGGGCAGATAGATCTGAAGAAATTATGCAGACTGCTAAACAGAAAAGTAAGGAAATAGCAAACACACAAGGAATATGCACACCAAAAGAAGGGTGAGTTCTAGGAAGCAAGACTAGAGAGGAGAAGCAGTATTTGACGAGCGAAGGCTAGAAATTGTCTAGCATTTATAAAAGATTTTTAGGCTGGGCATAGTGGCACCCACCTCTAATCCCAGCACTCGGGAGGCAGAGGCAGGAAGATCTCTGTGAGCTTAATGTTAGCTTAGTCTACACTAGTTCCAGGCCAACCAGGGCTACATAGAAAGACTCTGTCTCATAAAAAGAGAGAGAGGGAGGAGGGGGGAGGAAGGGAGGGAGGGAGGGAGGAAGGAAGGAAGGAAAGAGGGAAGGAAGGAAGGAAAGAGGGAAGGAAGGAGGAAGGAAGGAAGGAACTAAAATCAGTGTGGCACATACTCGGTGCTAATAAAAAATGTTGATGCTGCAATTGCTCCCTTTGGATTGTGTAAAACTGAGTTGATTCTCCCTTCTCTTCTTCCCTACACATTCATTCAACAACTATTGGGTAGGCCAGGCATGATGGCACATGCCTATCATCACAACACTTGAGAAGATCATCTCCAATGTTCCGACCCTACTATGATTACCAAGTGGATTCTCCTCTGTGTGTGTGTGTGTGTGTGTGTGTGTGTGTGTGTGTGTGTGTGTGTATGCACATGCAACATGGAGGTCAGAGGACAACCTCAGGTGTCAGTCCTAGCCTTCCACCTTGGCTGAAGCAGGGTCTCTTTGTTGTTTGCTGTTGTGCCTTATAGACCAGGTTAGTTGGCCCATGAGCTTCCAGACAGTCTCCTGCCTCTGCCTCCCATTCACTGTAGAGGGATTACAGGTGAGTGCCAGCTCTTTTCATGGGTTCTTGGGATTGAACTTGGGCTATCACACTTGTGCAATAATGCTTTTATCTGCTGAACCATCTCTTGAGCCCCACTACCAAGTATATTCTTAAGATTCATGCTCAGAAAAAGTATAAGACGGGCATAGTAGTTGATGACTCTGTTCTCACCTTCTTGGCCCTAAAACACAATTGTGAGAGGCACTGTGAAGGTTCAGAGCCCAGGTCTGCAGCCAGGAACGTCCAATTTTTAATTATTTAGGGTGTTTTTTTAGACAGGATCTGGTGTAGCCCAGGCTGATGTTGAGCTCACTACATAGCCAAGTTTAGCCTTAAATTCCTGGTTCTTTTGCACCTACCTCCCAAGTGTTGGGATTACAGGCATGCTCCACCACGCCCAGCTGATGGTTTGAAATTCTGACTCTGTAACTGATTTACTGGCTTTCCCAAGATGCATATTTAACCTTCCTTACAGCGTTCTTATAAGATTTCAGAAGAGAATCCAATGACAAGGTCTAACAGAGCACCTGGTACATAAGCTCTCAATCACAGTAGCTGTTGGCTTGTTTGAGTATTTCCATTAAATTGAAAAGGTTAGTATTATCATTAACCAAGTGGATGAAAAGTTATCTAAGGACACTTGCTGAATTAGATGCAACCAATCAAATCCAAGCAAGTGGTAAGAACAGCTAACCATGTTGATAAGGA